CTCCTTAACGGAAACTTGCTTATGTCAGGGAGACTCTTCAGTAGCACTTCCATTTCAACTCATAGATATCGCCATGAGCAAGCTTTAGCTAAATCCCGAAAGCACTAAATAAGTGCAAGTCCGTTCAACAACCGTTCCGCGGTTACGGCAGTGGTGACTCGGAAGTGATAAGAGCACGTTCCTCCTCCACTCGCATACTTGGGGAAAACTGACGAACTGCGTTACTCGGGTTACCCGCGGAGCTTCACTCCATAGGTATTCAACGGGCCCAGCTAGCCACGTCTGCCGAATGGAGCAGAACAACAGCTCCCCAAAGCAACGATCAACCATATGAACGCTATGGGCTCAAACAAATAACGGCAACAAAGAATCGTACCTTCTCATTAGCATAACACATGCTGGAGAAGAGTGAACGGCATCCGCGTAGCCAGCCAACGATCGAAAATTTAAAAGAATTGGCAAACACTGAACAACTAACTATGAGCCTTCAATTAACAACTGCTCCGAGGTCACCGTTCATTACTTTTAATAAGTTTAGGCTATGTAAAGTACAATAATATCTTTCCCAAGTATTTAAAATTCACTTAACCAGTAATGACAACAATAACATTGAGTTGCTCAACCGGGATAGTACACTGACTACTAATAAGTATTTGGACACCTGTGATCGAAAAGAAAAACTAACTTTATTCAAAATCAATAGTTGGTAGAGCCTCCACGAGAGGTAATTACAGCGTGGACCCTCCGGGGCATACTTTCCACAAGTCTTTGTATGACAGCTAGTGGTATTTTCTTCCACTCGGCTTGGAGAAGACATAGAAGTTCTTTCACCGATTTTGCACGGGTAGTGCACCCCTGAATTCGACGATGCAACTTGTCCCAGAGGTTCTCGATAGGGTTCAGGTCTGGACTTTGGGCAGGCCAGTCCATTCGATGAACTCCATTGGCACCATACCAAGCCTTGGTTAACGTCGAAACATGACAACTGGCATTGCCGTCCTGAAAGTAACAGGGGTCCAACCCGTAAAACTGCCACAACGTAGGAAGCACATTGTCATCCAAAATAATGCAGTAGGCATCGGAGTTGAGCTTACCATGAATGCGGACCAAGGGTCCCAGCCCATACCAGGAGAAACACCCCCAGCCCATAATTCCACCTCCGCCGAACTTGACTGTTGGCACAATGCATTCTGGCAGGAGACGTTCTCCAGGTAGACGCCAGATCCAGACCCTGCCATCCGAACGGTAAAGGGTGAACCTTGATTCGTCACTCCAACGAACCCGTTTCCACTGATCTCTACGGTCCAATTTCGATGTGCTTTGCACCACATTAACCGAGCAGCGCGGTTGGACTTTGTGATCAAAGGCTGATGGGCAGCAGCACGACCATGAAAACCAAGCAGATGTGCTTCCTTACGGATGGTATTCATTGAAACAATACTCCCGGATGCCTGTTGAAACTCCTCGCGCATGAGGGCTATCGGTTGGGTGCGGTTCTTCCGAATTTCTCTGGACAGCACTCTTCGGTCTCTATCTCCCAGTTTCGTTGGTCTGCCTACTCGGGGCACATTCCGACAATCACCGCTCACCTTCCACTTCTTAATCACATAGGCCACTGTCGATTTTGGGTACTTCAGATCGCTAGATATGTCCCTTAAGGATCAGCCACATTTGTGATTCCCGATAATTATACCTTTCTCGAAATCAGAGAGCTCCGAATTGCGAGGCATCTTGCATGAGACTAAAGCCGATGCTGTTTCCTATACGATATTATACCGGGGGAGTCCGTGACGTACCTTAGGACCGCAGATATCGTCATTTGCATAAGTGTCCAAATATATTGGTAGTCAGTGTAGTTTGCGACGCTGACTGCTGTACCGAAGCGCCTTTCCCCGGGGGTTGACCCAGGCGAATGCCTGGGAAGTACTGGTTAGAATCTGCACATTAATTAGTACTTAACTTTCTCTAAATATCTCTGAAAGGGAATAAATTTTTTTTTTAAATATTATTTAAAACTAACTGAGTTATTATAAATGTAAGGGGAATACATTTTCACAGGAAATGTAAGGGGAATCACTTTTTACACTTTTAATTATACTTATCAGACTTTTTTGCAATTAATTTCAACAAAACATAATTTAAAACTTTTCTTTATTACTTAAGTACACGTTTCATAGAATTTGCTTAACAATACCTTTTAGCAGATTGCTTTCCAGTACGAACAATTCTCGCTTAAATATTTTTATAACGTATTTATCTACCAGATTTTAATTAATGTTTACAATTCAATGTTAATGTTATTATATATTCAGATAATATTTATATTCATTATAAATTTAGAAACATTTAATAATTAGATTTCTTCACAGTAACTTTCACAGGTGTTTAGGAATGAATAAATCCTTCATTTTATAAATAATTTAATAAATATTTACGTATTTTGTTAAAGGCAGATACATGCTTTTTGCAAGCATATGCATACATACCCATACATATTTCATATTTTTCATTTTCGCCATGTCCAAATCTTTAAATTCTGTGCATTCACTATATTTTTCGAGTAAAGTAATTTACAATAATTTAGCATATACCCGAAATTTTACATAAGAAATATGTATTATTAAATAATATATATTACATGCATTATAAAATTACATGCATTCTTTGCATTTTTTTTAATATCTATTCAAAGGTCAGTTTTTCTTCGAAATACCCCCACGACGGCATCTTCCCCTTTAGGCAGATAGCCCTTGCATGCTTTACTATATTTAATAAAAACTTAACCTGACCTATGTACCTAATTACAAATATTTTAACATGGCATAATTTTATACTTACATTTAGCCATCAAGTTTCAAACTTTTGATTTAAAACACGTTTTAGGATACATTCATTATCAAATTCAAATCTTCTAACAAATACATTTTGGCAGAGCACTCAATACTTCTTTTAGCCATCTTATACAGTTTAATAATTGTCTGATAATTTTGTAGAGACATTTGGTATATTTTGGAAGTAAGAAGAGACGAAAAATAGCAATCGCCTTCGCCGGGAATCGAGGTAAGGACCTCTGAAATACCGGCTCAGTGTGCTGACCACTACAACCCGAAGACTCGCTAGGAAGGCGTGAGAAATACTTTATATACTCCCCCTTTTAAAGGACGACTGGGGTTTTTAGGGGACCCAATCGCCAAATCCTGGGTGAGGAGAATCATCATATAACACCCTTTTAGTTCGGGCGCCACTGTAGAGACATTAAGTATTTTTGGAAGCAGGTAAGATGAAAAATGAGCAATCGTTTTCAGGGAATCGAACCGCAGTCCTCTGGAATACCAATGTGCAGAACCACTACACCACGAAGGCACGCTGGGAAGGCGGGAGAAATACCTTATATACTCCCCCTTTTAAAGGGCGACTGGGGTTTCCTGGTGAGGAGAATTGTCACCCAACAACCCAACAACAGGATACACAAATGTTTTCACGTCCGTTGATTACCCTATTTTCAAATTTCATCATCAAGACATAGGCTGTCTTGATGATATTTCACGCTCACATGGTCATATCATCTTGACCGTACATGGTACTTCCGCCGAATTCGCAAATGTACCCGTCTTCTGTTCCATACGTTTGTGTAAAACTGTACATAATTTTACACAAATGCGTGGTTGCAAATCAAAGAAAAGTTAACTTATTGGCATATTTGTGTGTATAATTTATTAACTTTGGTGAGGATTTCAGTATTTGGTGGTAATTTAATTTTTTAATTAATCCAAATAATATAGTATCCAAATAAGCAAAACATATAAACCCAAAGTGATTACTTTTAAGTTACATAAAAAAAGATAAGTTTAAAATGAGCAACTATAAAGCCTCTCCTCTAAAACTGTTTAAAAAGTACATGTAACAATAGTATGTGGATGACAAGAAAATTATTTTATTTAAAACATTTTGGCGTTTGAAACATAAAATAAAAGTAGCGAATATTCTATCAAGGCTATCGAAAGACATACACATTTTTAAAGGTACCGTAAAGTATTTTTCATTCTTTTAGCATACCATTTTTCCTAAAATCTATATTTTTGTAGTTCAACAGATTAGAATTTTATAAAACAAATTCATAATCCATTTGAAGTTGATGTCAGGAAAAAGGATACTAAATAGATAAATAGATAGATAGTCATAATATCAGCGAAATGTAACGCTGTTAAGTGAACCTAGCGCCAGAGTGTCACTATGGTAAACAAATACAGTGAATTTGTATTTGTTCTATTGTGATTTATGCGCTATTGACGAAGTAGATTTAATTCAGTTCAATAAGTTTAAATGAAATGCAAGAAAAATGCGTATAATTTAACATTCCGTACAAGGAAGTCATGTGGTGTACACATCGGATTTTTTTTTTTACTTATTAATTTAGTCACACGTTAATGTTTTAAATGTACACGTTAATGTTTTAAATGTACACGTTAATGTTTTAAATGTACACGTTAATGTTTTAAATGTACACGATAATGTTTTAAAAGTTGCAGAGATCCTTATTGAGAGCTACTTGTTGACAGCCATGCTGATAAGTGTCTGCCGCTTTCTTTCTACCATTTCCATTGGAATTATTTTTAATAACTTATGAATTAAGAATTCGCAGCTTTTCGAGAACTGCATTAGAAAAAGAACTGCATTTGCTCTTTAGAATTTATCTGGAAAATAGTTGTCTGGCAAAAAAAGAAATAATTAGAACATCGTAGCTGTGAGGAAATCATATTGCGTTCGCATATGTTTTGATAAAAAGAAACCTGTACCACGTTTTCATTGGAAGATCAGTTAAAACTTATTGAAAGATCAAACGGATCAGTCAGCTCTTATTGAGAATTTTTGCTGTTGTGAACGTAAAGTAATTTTTAAATGCTTATTGGAAAAAAGAATAGGAATCCACCTGTTAATCTTAGGATGAGATACTTGGAATTTTTAATTCCAGATGTGCAAAACCATCTGTCCAAATGTACTGTTCGTTATAAATAATGGTTACAAAACTTTCAATCTTACTTAGTACAGGGATTTTCGGAATGATGATGAAATTTCTTATAGTAATCTTGTTGACAGCTACCAACCAGTTTGTAACTGCTACCAACGGAAATGTAGTATATAATCCAAAATCAGGTATAATGTACTTTATTTCTGTCACATTCTCTTTAGTTTCTGATTGCGCTTTTTGTATTACTTCTGTTTCGATTTTTTATATTAGTTTCGTTCGTCTTTAATATTTTGATTTACTTCGCAACAAATCATTCTTGATTATACGCTAAAGCGAATTTATGCGTATCAAAAAAAGTAATTTTTAATGAACTACGTGTACTAATTTGGTTAGTTGAAAATAAATCAGTTTTAGAAGAACCTCATTCTTACAAATATTGAATCGTCCTTCGAGATATAATTAATACAGTTAACTGTCTTGAATATCTGTTGGAAAGAATTTATTTTGTTTACTGTTTTAAACCATTGTGAGCTAAGGATAACTGGCTTTAAGAGGGTGAAGATTATCCAAGTTAAACTTGTAATTCTCTTCTCTTAGTGACAAGTTTCTCTTGCATAATCTTAATTTAATAGAATATAAAAATTACATCATATTATTTGTTAGAAAGCTTGTATAACCATTAGGGTATTTTGGTGCTGGAAACGTGAAAAATGAAGAATGCCTTCGGCGGGCATCGAATCCTGGACCTCTCAAATACGCGTGGAGTAGGCTGCTAGTTACAATACGAAGGCATGCAGAAAGGAGGGAGAAAATACCTTATACAATGCTCCTCTTAAAGGACGACTGGAGATTAGGGGACCTAATTTCCAAACCCTGGTGGTGACGAATTATCGTCCACCACCTTTCAGTTCGTTGTAAAATATGAGGTTATTTTGATGATCTAGACCAGGGTTTCTTAAACGTTTTTTCAGTCGCGACCCCTTTTTATCACTGAGATTTTTTTCGCAACCACAGGACCCCCATAATATTTACTAAAATTTTGTGGGACCCCCCCATAACTATTGCAGTTTTAGGTGATTAACTTTAATTTCTAATTTTAAGACATAGAACAATGTGAAAATTTCAAATCACAGACGAAATGACAGCGTCACGAGCAAGTAAAATGAACGTTTATATTTTTTTGTCTGTACTGTCTTATCTTTATCTATTTTCAGATACATTGTGTAAATATATTTGGTAATTATAAAATTATTATAATAAGTTGAAGAAATGTCAATACTGCTAAAATTTTTGGCGACTCCCTGCTGCAGGTCCCGCTACCCATAGTTTAAGAGACCCTGATCTAGACATGAAAAATGAGTAGTGCTTTCCCGAGATTAGATCCCTGGATTTCGAGGTGATTCCTCTTACACCACGAACACATGCAGAAAGTAGGGAGAAAATACGTTAGTTGGAAAAATGCTGTTGAACACGGATTTTTCAGAATCAATAAATTTCCCACGATGACAGTATAACTTCACAGTTCTTTCCTTTACTCATCTACCCTGTAAATTGAATGAAATTACCTGTTACATAACTTCTTTGATACATCAAATCTTTCAATACCCGAAATGAGTGGAATAGGAACAGGTTCGTACAACAGATATATCTGATTTCGGTATTTTGAAGGGCCCACCAGCAGCCGAGCGGTAAAGACGCTGAACACTGGTAGTTCGGTCCGAGGTTCAAATCCCGCGAACGGGCTGGCTGCATGGGCGTTTTCGTGGTTTTCCCCATGTGTAACGTGTATACGAGCCAGTTTCCCTTAGAAAGCCCTCCACGAAGGCATCCCTCCCTTTAGGCAGATAGCCCTCGTGTGCTTTGCCATAAATGAATAATCCAATCCAATCCGTATTTTGAATAATGGCTGATTTAATTGAATAGCTGATTTAATTGAATTTAATAATGGCTGATTTAATTGAATGAAAACTACTCTTCATAAATGTTGCATTATTTGTTGTAGTAGTTTTCATTTAATTAAATGTAATTCATGTTCAATAATTATAATTTATTTCAATAATTTATTTGCATTTACGGATAAATATAATTTATAACAATATCATTGTTAGAAATGTATTTTCAAGTGTTTACAATTTATATTCATACGCATTATAACAATTATTACATATTATAGTTACATATTTGTGATATACTAGCCGCTATGCGGCCAGCCTTTGTCTGGCTTTTAAATGCACTAGAAAACAAACGTCCTCTCGAAAAATCTCCTATCGACAAACGTCCTTTCGTCAGATCTCCTCTCGACAAACGTCCAGTGTCCAAGAGAAATAATAAATTACAGAATCAAATGATTTCGCTTTAACAGGTAATCATTGGATATTGCTTAATTATTTAACTAACTAAAAACAACTAAACTCAGTGACGTAACAGCCCTAACGGGACAATGCCCGCAGTGCCTCGAAATCTGTTTTCTTGACTGTGGGCCCCGGGGTGCGAAGCATATGCTCTGAACAAGTGGTCAGGTTGTCGCAGGACCCCCGATGTTTAGTACCCAAGCGAATGTTATACTCATTTTATTGACCCAAAGAATGGAAATCAAGGGATTAAAGGATGAGCCGACTTTGCCCAGCTCGGGGATCGAACCCCGGACCTGTGGTGCTGCTGCGCGATGCGCTAGCCACTGCACCACAAGGCCTCTTGCAGTTATTTAGATAGTTATATTCGTCATGCATAGATAAATATTCTTCATGCATGTCATGAGATAATTAAGCGTGCTGCATAATAATGTATAATAATCACATCACAAAAGCAGTTGTAAAATACATTACAAAATTCTCTGCAACATTTTTAAAGTAACAAACGTTTCAAAGGATGAAATAGTTAAAATATTATGTTAAGCTAGATTAATTATTATATCATCAAGCAAATGATGAGTAAATGCTTAAATTTAACTGTGTCCTTTTACGTTTGCTGAATATCAGTAACTGTATCAGGACTACTGTTCTTTCTAACTGACTTGAGAAACATCACAGAAATCCTGAGAGGGAACAGGAAGCTTACTTCAGCTATGTTCGTGTGAGCGTGGAATAGCCAAACAAGTTAAGAAGGGTTAACTTTACCCTTTATTTCTCACAGCGTACAGGTGTTCCCACACTTTCGGGATTCAGACACCAACACTTTTGGTTTAAAACGCAAAAAATAATAAATATTCACTTAATAACTAACTTAACTAAATAGGAATTAAACTTACGCGAAGACTGGCCTTTTGACACCGCGTTTGTAGTGAGCTAGAGGCAAATACTACAATAAGCCTATTATATCACCAGGAACTAAGTCCTGGCCTAAAGGCAGACACGAACTGACTAATACGCGAGTAGCAGGAAGGCTCTCTTTCTCTTGGCTAAAAGCCACTTTTTAAATACCTTTGACAGTTTGCAAACTCATTAGTATAAAAGTCCCACTCGCGCTTATTCTGGCCGGAAATGTAAAATAAGAGAGGACAGCAAAGTTTAAAATAAAATAAACGTTAGTAAAACTTAAAGGTCTTATTACTATGTCAAAACAGATACAGAAGTTCATAATTTTTTAGATTATAGAAAAAAGCTTTTAGAGGACCAAACATTTTCACCTTGCAAAATCAATGCAGTTATCATGGAATAAGTACATTGTAAGCGAAACATGTGCTGAAAAATGGGAAAGAAATTTTATAGTTATATGTTCGACTGAAAAATTTATTGACTGTGAAGGCAAGCCTCCACATGAGATGCTAACTGCAACCGGCACTGACCACGAGGCGAGTTTCAAGGACGAAACCGGTTTCTCGCCTTCTTCTGCTGCTGGAGTACGTCGAGGTAGGACGCCCTTTTTGGGCTGTGCTGGCCGAGTCCTCACTTTCCGAGATTTCTTTTTTCCTGGCTGCGTGAGTTAGCCATTTTTCATCTTTGGAGTCCCATCGAATTAAATCCATATTAAAAGAATTCTTTTGGTTAATTGCCTGAAAGGCACCGTGTCAAGAGCAATCCTCTGATAATGTTTTTTGCGGAAAATATTTTGCGCAGAATTTCATCGGACTCTTGTTCGTTCCAAGAAGTTACACAGATACGTGCTAATTCCTGAGGTTTAAGTTTCCTGAACTGTAATTGCATTTGAATTAATTTCATCAAAAATGTAAGCAACTTTAATGTAGCTAACTCTACTGAAATGTGCTATTCATGTAAGGACAGTATTTTCGCAGATGAATTAGGATTCTTCTGGACTTCGTCTGTTACTCACGAGCAGCTTTATGTGCGCCTGGTATTAGATGTTTTATGTCTGGCAATGTGATATTTTTTGATATATATCTTTTACAGTCTGGCTAACTAATAAATTGTGAATTGTTTCAACGAGTCAATGTCGTCATTTTGGGGTAAGTTGAATTTTATTTTTTACTTCCTAGTTCACACATCTTACCCCTTAGTTCTTTCCAAGCATATTACAGGTTATTGCGGCACAATAGCAACAAACAAATATAACATTTATTAAACAAAAAAGAATATAACATTGGCCACAGAAGCTTCAGATTAAAACGCATTTTAACGATCGAGGTCAGCATCTTCTTTCTCTTCTTTTCCCGCACTATGAAACATTTGTTATTAATTATTCCTGAGATTAAAAAAATATTGCTTCGATATAAATGTGATACTAATAAATAAATATAAAATGAATTTAGTTACTATAGTTTCTGAGGTATAACAGAAGTCTTGAACATAGCTGTATGAATAGCTTTCTGTTTTCAGTATCTAGCAAGCATGTGGACTTTGCTTGTGTTTCCGCATTTGCCTAAAAGCGGATGCGAAAAATGTCATCCAGTGTGAAGTCCTAATGCAAAGTAACAGTCATAAAAGCCTATTAGAGGTTATTGTAGATCAGGGATTTTCAGTGGGTGCGTATTGAATCTGGGGGTCAATGAAAGTTTAAAGAAGTCAGTGGTAATCAAGGGCGCGGCCGATAACCGAATATACATCGGCAATTGATTAGTAAGCACAAATTCTCATTGATATAAAACTAATAATGCATTTTTATTGAAATAACGCTATATAATGTAGTAAAATGAAATCGTATAAAACAAATATAAGGTAAGAAAGATACTTAAAGTTATTTAATATATCTAAAAACTGAATTACATTTTTTTTTTAAATAAACAATTTTTCGAACCTCATTATTGACTTTTTCCTCTCCTTAGGTAGTGGAAACAGGCTTTAGTCAAGCCAATAATTTATTACAAGAAACAAGGAACCGGATGAATATTTTTAACGAGGGGATTTAAGAATTAATTTAGGTTAAATTGTGCCAAATATTAAAAAACAATATATCACGCGCAGACATGACTTGAATTTTTTGCAGTAAAAATTTGTGGCTGCATGAAAACATCTTTACATTTGTAAAATGAATAATAATAATAATAATAATAATAATAATACAAGATAAATTCTAATGAACCATTTTTTTTCAAAACTTTCATTCTCAGTTTTAGTCTAATTGTTATCTTTAAACCACTTGTATATTAACTAACTAACTAACTAATTATAGGCTTCCCTGCTCTGTGCGTGAATTAACCGCACTATTGCCCCTCCGGGAAAGCAGCGCACCACCTGGAATCCTCCAGGCGACACTGTCGTTAATTTGCTACCTAAACCTACCAGTCGTTCGGGCTGCTCGTTGCAGCGGGACATTACCCAGAGAACCCGGGGACACTACCCCCTCGGGCTACTAGAACCACGCCGTGCTAGGACGTGCAAGACACCGAGGCCGGCCAATAAATGACCTTTCCCAGGGCCTTCAGAGCCACCAAGTTCATAAATTTTATACCTCCGTGGCCGAGACTGCGTAGGTATAGATCCTAGCCAGTAGCTTCGCAGAGTTCTCTACGTCAACCCCCGGGTGGGATGTTGTATATTACAGAGAAAAATGTAAGGGGGTTTGATGAAAAAGACCATTTTTTAAAAGACGTCGATGCAAGTAAAAGTCTGCTGCAGATCTTTTAGAAAATCTGGATCAGTGTTTGTAACAAATCTTTAGTGTGCAGCAATGTTCTGTTTGCATCTGTTAGCAAAATTATGATGATGCCAAAATAGTTAACTGAAAAGGTTAGCATTCTTAGTTTTGTTCTGTATATTACTGTTAATTGTATTAAATAATTATCACATCTAGCGACAGTCCCTGCTAGACGGGACGTTTCTGTGAAACAAGATTCTGGTAGCCCTGGTTTAAACGGGAGGATTCCTAGAAGAAAAAGCTCCGCTGGAAGCGAAGTCCCGCATAGCTACGGAAACCATGTCCAGGCTACGCCGGATATTTTGAAACTTCGCCGAAAATGTACCCTCTGCAGCTCTGCACCGCGTAGAGATCAACCAATCAGACGAAAGTTCTGCTGCTTCGGAAGAATTACGCGATCCCAATCTGAGAGATAATCGATTACTGTTTGGCGTTCAAGTCTTTGTAGTAAGTGAAAATGGTAACCTAGCTACGTGGGTTCTAAGATTACTCTTTAAGATAAGTTCTAAATTACTCTTTCGACTTCCAAACCTGCATAGCAGAAAAGCATGTGTGATAGGGACTTAAGAGATGAGCTCGCCGCCCAAACGGTGTACTGGTTAGAGTCGCTGACTGCTGTGCCGAAGAGCTGGGTTTGAATCCCGGAGAAGGCATGGATGTTTGCAAATGTATAATGCCGAAGCGGCAAGGGACATTCTAAATATGCGGCGAGCCGAAAGTCCTCTCGTGTGGTTTGGTGGAAGTAGGAGACGGATGGGAGACCACTCGGACCCGTTCTCCCGGGGTGTTTTCCATCAAAATTGGGGGGGAGGGCGGAATTGAGTTAAGTCACAGTCACTTGTTAGGAGCTCAAGGTTGTTGCCAATGGCAGGCGTAATCTTGCCACGGGGAATTTCGTGGGCTTGGGCTGACTACGTCAGACAAGTGAGCATAAGCAACAAAAACAACGACAAGGAGGCCATTTATTCAGTTCTCTAAGTCTGTATTGAGCTTTGCATACAAACCGATGCATTGTTGAAGTTTTTGATTAGCATTGTTGAAGTTTTTGATAAGCATTGTTGAAGTTTTTGATTAGCATTGTTGAAGTCTGCATCAGTTTTTTCATGGCGATATTAAAATAGAGGTGAAAATTGTTTTTAAAATAAGAGGGGTGCTAGTAATCATCCAGATAAGCAATAGTTACCATAGAACAAGGGCAGATTCACTTGGGAGGAAGAAAGAGGATGTAGAATACCACTTGAACTTAATATGTTGGGAGAGCGAAGAACGAGACCAAAGTTGCACAATCAGGTAGTGAAAACTCACAGAGTTTGCTAAAAAGGATAAAATCAAAACATAGCGTTGAGCGTTAATTCGAGCTTACTTTAAAGACAAACCTCAATGCACATCTTTGGTGGCAAAGATCAGCTTCGCAACGATGCAACAAAGTTAATTATCTAATCAAGGGACTGATATTCAACCACCTCCAATTCGGCGGCCGGATTAAACATGAAATTCGTGTTGTGTTCCGGCTGTCAGAAATTTTATCCCATAAAATTTTTCTCATGTAAAATGAGATCAGACAGTAAGTCCAGGAGGAAGGATAGAAGATGGCGAAGGGCTGCTACCTTGATACCTATTTTTCCCCACAGATAATTCTATCTAGTAACTTTAGAAATAATTGTTGAATCGTTTTCGAGTTGAGAGCTGCCAAGGATGTGCAGTTTGAGTATTTGCCACAAAGCTGAGCTCGAATAAACATTGAACGCCAAGTTTCGGTATCATTTGGCACTCCTGTGTTTTTCTCTAAACTATTGTGCAACTTTTGTCTCGTTTCATTCGCTCTCCCAACACTGTGGTAAATCAGGTGGAATTCTAATATTCCTGTTTTTTGCATATCAGAGCAGATGCGACCCTATGGTTATGGTAATATTGCTCATCTGGATAGTACTATCAGCCCTCTTTGTAAAAACAATTTAGAATCACCCTCTATATCATTATATATTCAGTAGTTAGTGATAGTCATCAATTCTGTGTCATCAATGTTTCTGTGACTCCTTCTCCTTTATTTTCTTCTTTCTAGGTATTTCTTTCTCCTGATGAGGAGGGACCTTTAGCTGCCCTCGAAATCGATTGAGTGTTTCATTATACCTACGATAAATACAAGGTTGTTTTTACGATTCTGATAGTCATCAATAGTTTGGTACGAATTTTCTGATGATCATGATTATATTTTATACATTATTCTCTTTCTTTTTTCAAAAAGAGATCCGAAATTTAGCTGTATCTTTGACAATTTTAAAATATTTCAATCTGAAACCTTGCTCGGTGATCTAATAATGGATTATTAATTCTGGATCTAATTGAAGGATTTCAGTTTTGTCGAACATTGTTGCTATTGATTTTTCCTTTGCAATATTGGTTAAGTTAGAGCAATCGATGAATGTCCATGGACTCTGTCAACTCTCTTCTGAAGGCATTTCATGGAAGAGTTTCAATTGCCAACCTAATTTTGCACAGATGTATTTGTTCAAACTTCTTAAGCCATTGGATTGTTGTGTGAGCTACAGTGTTGGGGGTCTAGTTACTGAAGAAAGCCAACCCAGTCATTAATTGGCTACTGTCCTATGACTAATAATTTATAGTGAAGAGAATAGCTAATTTCACATAGTGAATAAAATTCTGACGTTCTTTTTTTTTTACATGCAAAAGAAGATTCTCTAAAGACTTACCTTTTAAATATCTTAGTTAATTTTATTTACTTTGACAATATTTCACAACACTATTTGTTGACAATGATGTATATTCATTTAGCTATTCCTAGAACACATGAAGAATCCGAACGAAAAGAGGTATGCATGGGTGAGCTGGGATGTTTTGACACAGGATATCCATTCGATTCACCAGGTACTGAAAGAATCCTCAATCTTGCACCAGATCCGAGAGAAGAGATTGGTACAGAATTCCGATTTTTCAGTCCAAAAAATAAAGATATTCCGCAGTATGTTACTAACATGAACTTCTCTTCATGGGACGTAAAAGACAGTGGATTTTTCCGTGGCTGGATTACGTATTTTATTTTGCATGGATTTATGGGTGGCAACAAAGAATGGCCTTTAGTAAGTATGCATTAAATTATAACTAACAATGAATTGGTTCATATTTTCTTTATTCTAACAGTATTTATTTTTATTTCAAACTAATCATGTAAAATAAAAAATAATTTAGTAAAAAATACATCAACTAAACAACAACAATAACAAAAAAAAAAAAAAAAAAAGAGAGGAGAGAGAGAGAGAGAAAAGGTTTATATAATATTATCGTTCAAAAAAAGCTTCTTTTTTTTTTTTTTTTTTTTTTTTTTTTTTTTTTTGTAAAAGCAATATAAGACATTGGCAACAAGCCTATATCTTATACTGCTAGTTCATATGCTTCTAATCTTTGTAGCGTATATGTTTAAAATTTTGGTTTGATCTTCAGAAAATGTAAATGAATTTTGGTAAAGCAATGATGCAAATTAACTCAATGGATGATGGCTGTAAGAAAGAAAATGATATAATGTGTTCGAAATTCAATGTTTATTTTTAATTATGCATTTTATTATAGCAAAAACAATTAATAAAATAAATTGTGTTGTAATTGCTACCTTGGAGACGTTTTTATAAAACTTTTGCGAGTAAGTTTCATGTCTCTAAAAATATCTCAATTATTCACTTTTTTCCTCATTATTTGTACACATCATGACACACACCTTCATGATGACGACATCTTCATGACTACAAAAGACACACATCTATATGACACACATCTTCATGACTGCAAAAGTTGCATGCTGTTCAACAGTGCAACCTGTAGTAGTATTCTTAAATCGGAAATAATTTCCAACAGGAAAGTTTTATATTGAGTTACTGCAAATTTGATACTTACAAACGGAGAACAACGTTTAAAAACAAATAATAATAATATTAATAATTATGAATGTTGATCATAGTAGCGCTAATAATCTAATGCATTTTTTGGGGCAATTGAAAAAGGAGAGATTTGTATTTTCTAACTCCTTTAATTGAAAACTTTAGAAACAGCATATTCTGGACAAACTACTCAAGTGACTTAAATGCATAGTAAAAAGAAATAAAATTTTGAATGAGATGCTAGGGGCTTATATTGTAAATTTATTCTAAGACAATTTATTTTCGTATTTCAAAGCAGCTTACGGGAAATAACCAACAAAGTTATTAAGTTCACACTCTCTAAATTAAAATTTAAAAAAGAACCTTCTAAGGCTCCAATTGCGACATAATAAAAAATTCCGCAGTAAATATTTTATTACTTTTAATATATCAACAAAGAAAATTTGACTACAATTATTTAAAAATTTCAAAAAATTAATTTCCAAAGCATTTTGCATCAGAAAAAAAAAAAAAAAAAAAAAAAAAAAAAAAAAAAGATTAAATATTTTTAGTTATTCAAGTATTTGTATAAAAATTTGGAAAAAAAAAAAAAAAAAAAAATCTAAGAACCAAAGTATTCACTGTTTTCTGGATTATAAGATATGTGGAATTACACATTCCCTGTTAACCTACGTGTGCGAAAAATATAATTTAATGCGGAAATAAATAACTGTAGCTGTAGGATACAGTTAATAATGAAAGGAAACATGTTAAATCTTTTTATTCTCAACTAATCCCTTATCATTCAACTGATGGCGCCATCTATGAACACTAAGAAGAGTTAATAGGTTTCTCTACCAATTTACTGCCAAAAAGTTGTTTCATACTACGGTTTGAAAAACATACTAGTTTCTTTACAAGTTCCTAAATACTTCACATTAAAAAAATTAATCCATTTACATGTGACAAACCGTCATAATATGTAAATAAAAACATATGAAATGGTTACTTTATCTAATTTTAAAATCACACTTTTGATCAATGATCTTAATTTGAGACGAATTATTTCATCTCAAGAAACTAAGTCGTTCAAACACGTTTCAAGTAGCAGCTGTAAATATGAAATCCCAAACATTTATTAAAGAAAGGAAATATTCAATAAATGTACTTTTAAATAAACGTAGAAAGCATTTAAACAATCATAAGTAGCTACAGATATTAAATTTAAACAAAAACCGATGATTAAAAAATGAAATATAAAACTAAGGCTAATTAAACTTAGCCTAATAAGCAATTAAATGTACGTTATTAACATAATTTTCTTTTACTGATGCTAATTGCCCCAAATTTCAAACAGATTTTAAGTGATATTTTAACAAGTCTCCAAGAAGCAAAAAAGCGTAATTAGAGGACTCGGTGCCTTTTGAATGATTTTTTTTTAATTTAAGAAATTTAATCTACTTTTTATGAAAAATATTAAGTGGTTTTTATGAGACAAAATGATTTTAAGCTGAAAAAAATTTTTTGCTAGTAATATTCAACAATTAAAAATTCTTTTTTCTTCCACAATTTTCAATACTTTTCCTTCAAATTTTTTTATTGCATTTATAATAGTGTTCTTAATAACTTTACGGATCGATTTTGCAATTGATGAACTAGTTTCTGAGAAAATAAAAAGCACATTTTTATATAAAATCTTAAAAAAAAAAATATGATTTCAATTGCATTTTCACTTCTAATAATTTTTCTTTTCACTATTTTTCCAAACCCATCCTTGATTCTGTTAAGCATATAATTTTAAATATATGCTTAACAGAATTAAGGATGGGTTTAGCAGCAAATTTATTAAATAATTTGGTCCGTATCTGTATAAGTTCTAGGACTTTAAGTAAAAAGATATATTAAAAAATTGCAACCTGAGAAAACGCAGTTCACAGAATGTACACTGTCTAAATAGTCATTAAATCATTTCAAAATTCTTAAAAATGTTATTACTGAATTTCAATATATATATAATGTATATAATAATAAAAGCTCAATTGATTAATATGAACGTAAATTACAAGCTTTTGTTTAAAACTTTATCTGGCTAGAAATATTGCAAAAAAATCATAAAATGCAAGTAGAAATTTTCTTTACCTGTTTTCGTTTTTTAAAACAACCTCAAAACAATTTTAATGTATGAATTAATTATAATTTATTTTCTAAAAACGCTATAATCAATATTAATATTATTAATTTGTCGTTTTATTCATTTTTTTAAAAAGCAAAATTGGAGATTTTAAGACATTAAAACATTTATTTAAAACCACTCAGCAGCATATGTGATTTCTCTTGTTCTAGCCATTTGTTCTCATTATATTAATTTAATTTAATTAATTTTAATTAATTAAAGAGTTTAATGTTTGTTTCTGCATTTTTTCAATAATGCTACGGTGAAAAACTTGATCACTTTCATTACACCCCCTCTTTCTATTCGTATCTAATCACAGATAATTTCAATTTTGGAATAAGCTTAGCAAAGCTGACTGATAATACTGTAAGTATTTGCTGAGATCAATATGAATATATAAACTTGCCAGTTTTAAGGTGAAATTTTTTTTTCCAACTTCAATTTGTATTTAAATAAATCAGTTTATACACATAAACAGAGTTTTTTGATAGTCGAAGTCATATTTAATTACACTCCTTTCCATTTACGCTGATTTTTAGTAAGTTACTAAAAAAATTAAAAAAGTAAAAAAAAAAAAAAAATAAAAATAAAAAAAAAAATAAAAAAATAACACTGAGGGGGTGTGGCGTTTAAAGGGGTGTGAAAAATTTTAAAAACCTTTTTATAGCCTTTATTATCGTCAGATCATTTCGAAATTTCTCTTCAGTGTAGTAAGTGTATTAAGGTACTTTTCCAGCAAAAAATTGAAAAATCGGTAATTTTATAGATTTTTGGGGTACCGAGTCCCCTTAAGTTTTAACTTTTGCAATTTAATTTTCAGATGAAAAACGTTTAGATATCTAAAAGTCAGACATTTTCTAAATAACTCCTCATATAGAAATAATGTAGCTTAAGAACGTTTTAATAATTTTACAAATAAAAATTATGATACAATTTGTAGTACAGCAACTAAGAAGCCTCATATTTTGTTATATGATGTTTAGCGCTGAAAACGCGTACATTCTACTTCAATTAGTTATAGATACAATCATCAGGATATTTTTTATGTGTAAGATGATTTGATTTCTTCAAGTTTTTATCTTTAGAATAATTAAATTCCTTTTATTCACTGGTAGATACATATGAAAACTGTTTATTGAGTTACATTATTTTAGACCAGCGCACGCATCATTACATAAAAAGTTAACTCTTTTATTAATAAAATTATACAAGTATAATTAATTACCTGTATATTGATAGCCGTCTGTATATAATGGCTAATAAACTATTTGCTAACTTAGTTCTCTAATTAAATCCTCAAATTTCTTTACTACTTTCAATCAGTTTAACACTTTTACGAATGATTATGTAGATATTAACAATCAGATTTACACTTTATTTCACAGACGATAAAGAATGCTCTTTTAAATAAAGAAAGTTGTAATGTGATCATCGTTGATTGGACAAATGGCCATGGACCATTGTACGAGCAGGCTGTTTCTAATATACGGGTGGTAGGAGCTGAAGTAGGACTTTTCATTCAACGCATGATGGTATGGTACTAATTAGTATTAAGTAACGTTACCCGTGTCATTTTTCAAATGAGAAAACTGTGTCGTTTTTTCGTATATATTCATTACTTATAGAATTTAATGACAATATTTATGTAAAGAAAATTCATATACGTTTACGTAACTTGCTTATTTCATTTAGCATAGAAACACAGTGTCCCAATTGGCTCCCATAATTTCGAAACTGTTGCTAGTATTTAAATATATCAAACATGGGATCGAAATGATGCATACACATGATAGCGACCATTCTCTAAGTTTTTGTTAAACTATTTGCACATTGAAATATGTGCTGTTTTGGTAGTATGCATGTAAAGTCAAATAAATAGATATGTCATGAAGCAATAGCAATTAATAAATATGTCTCAAAAGCCTGTAAGGGGTTGGAAGAGATATTAATATGCCAATTTTCAGGTTCTCTAGTACACATAAAAGTATTTAATACACATAAAAGTATTTGCTGAGACTTTTATGTGTATTAAATACTTTTACGTCCTAAATACACATGAAAATATTTAGGCTGTCACTTGAATAGCTGAGTATCTGTCCTCTGCAGAAAAAATCAAGTGGGATACGATCTAGAGACCACAGTGCGAAGATTGCAGTCATCTAAACACCATCGTTCATCCGCAATAAAAAAAAAAAAAAAAAAAAAAAAAAAACTGCCAATATTTGTGCAAGTTAATTATTCAACGTCGCTTTTAATAGGAATCTAAATGAGGCCCGTATTTTCTGAACGTTTTAAAACATCTAAGCATGACACATATTGCCATTTCGATATCTTTAACGTTCTTCAAGTCTAAGTACTAAATCCAGTTCATACACTTCCCTACATAATATTTTAAACTAACAGTTATATTCAAAAATTAAAGTCGGCAGTTTCTGGTATCATAGCTCTGATTAATAAATAAAACAATTGTTTTCTTAACCGACAAAGACACAAATTAAATTTTAAAATTTAAAATTACAAAAACTATCAAAGTAATTTATATCTCTATCAGTCCACTCTTTACAGGTATTACAGGAAGTAAGCAGTGCCCCAAAATGTAAAGTTATAGCATCAAAAAGAGACAAATTAAAAAAAAAAAAAAAAAAAAAAAAATTGCGAAATAGTAGACAAATTTAAAGAAACATTTCGAGTAGACAGAATCCAGAAACAAAACTTCCAAAAATAGTAATCCAATGCTTGAAAAATTTAAATTAAATCAAAAAATTGGATATAACAAAGCTACATGAAAATGTTGAAAATAAACAGGCAGGGTTAAAAAAATAATAGCTGAAATCATAAACAAGCAAAAAAGCTTGAAAATTCGATAAAAAGGTATTTTAATATAAGTGGACCAAATCCAAAAACGTATAAAACAGAAGTAACGCAACATATGCGAAAATAAAAATTAAATGACAATTTAAAGCTGAAAAATATAAAATAAAAATAAAATTTTCAGTTTCTGTTATATTATGACAATTTTTTTTTTAATTTAAAAAGACGACTATTAAAAGAAAGTTAAGCCGAAAAATTAAAAATACAAGAGCACTTGCATTTAGCATTTAATAAATAAATATCTCTTTTTGATTTCGAGAAAGTTCCAGAAAATTCTCGCGCGCGATTTAAAATCTTATAAAAAGGAGGAAAACCTCTCAGTTCTTTTATGGACATGATTCGTGTACCTGGATCTTCAAAGCTCTGATTATTTATTGCTAGTGTAAAATGTTTTTCACCATTTGCTACTTCGCTCAAATACCACCGCAATCCCTATGTGTACATAGTGTATAGTTCATCAATTTTATGTGCTTCACGTGCCTCAGTGTTACCCTGCAAGAACTTTAGTAGTTGTTAATTTCTTCGTACCAAGACTTCACTGAATTGTGATATCTACTATTTCAAGATGCATTGGCCGTGGTCAGTTCACGGGAGGGTGACCCCCACGTTGACTACCACTGTAACCAATCTGTGTTTTACAGCGAAGATGAATTTGAATATTTTGACTTAACTAAATCTGCTGCAAACCCTCAGTTGTGCCATTTGCCTTCCATTTAGATCGCGATATTAGTTTAATTATTCCTAATCTGGATAACCTGTTTACGAAACTTGATAATTATTAATATATCCAATATTTCTCATTGCACGCGTAAGCTGCTTTGCTCGGAGTCTGAACTTGGGTGGGTGACCACTCACGTGACAGGCTCCTGCCAATCATCTCCCTCCACTCCACCTACATTTCACTTGATTTGACTAGTTTCGTCTAGTTGGCGCGGCGTAAATCGCCTTAATTAAAAACTTAAGTACCAACGCCTTAAGGCAATTTACCAACAGAGACGGTTAAAGTAGCGGTTGGCTACTAATTGCCGCCTAGCCATTGACTCGATTTCGATTTCAGTTCTTGGTTATTTTAGTTAGTTAGTTAGTTTGATGTTGTTTTAAGAGTTTGTTTAGAAAATTGCTCTTGTTGACTGTAGCGAATTCGCGGATTAGCTTTCTTTAGCTGTTTTGAATTAAGTTCTGTTGAACGATTGAGTAGTTAAAGGATAACTACTGTGAGATACTGTAATACTGTACGAATATCTGAGAAAATTGAATTATTCTGTTTTATTTATTTGTGGTATTAATAAATCTTATTCATATTTCATCGGACTTGTGCATTCAATTCCAAACGAACCCGTTCCGCACGCAACAATATTGTCTGTATTCTGTTTTGCTCTTATCATTATATGATACGAGAATGCGTTTACGTATTCTAGTACAATTATAGTTGAGGCATGCTTATCATTTTTATCGTTTTTATCTTAAGACTGACCTACAGTTTATCAGTTTTTTAGGCCTCATTTTAATTAATTTCTGATTAGTAAATAAATTTTAAATTATTTTATTGCTTGACTTATTTTTCGCTGATTTGCGAAAGCGTTCATATCTTTTATTACAAAATTTTCTCTGCAATTTATTAATACTTTTTTTCGTAATTTTAAAAAATAATGAGGGTTAGGTTACAGAAGTGTGCATCTTAATATTTTGTCAATGTTTCAGAATGTCTCAAACTTGTATCCAGAATTCGTGCATATTATTGGCCACAGTCTTGGCGCCCACGCTTCAGGATATGCTGGCAAGTGGTTTAGGGATAAGGGTAATAAACTAGTTTCCAGAATAACAGGTAATGATTTCATTACAAGACTCATGTATGGCATAATATATAAAACTGTGTAGGTAATAATTAAATTTCAAGAAATGAATGTCCTTGCTTTTTTGACGTGTAGAAAAATAAAATTAATTTCTGCTAATATTTTGTAAAATCTTATCTATCTTGTTATGGGTAAAGCATTTTAAAGTTTTTCTTTTTAACATTTTAAGAAATATTCTGCTACCAAAAACATAAACGATAATTTTGCAATCATCACATTCTACCTCCTCTGCTTCGTTAAATATTATTAATTCGTTATTCTCGGAATTACAAGTTTTATTTTCAAATTAATTTCTCATTGAATAAGAAAATTCTTTGTTCAACTCTTAAAAGAAGTAAGAGTTCAAGGGAAATTCAAGTTTTATTCAATTGAAATTAAGATATTACTTGCCAGTATAGTTTAACATTGATCAGCCAAACTAAGACAGGATTAAAATTGTGCATTAAACAATCCGCACCCTTTACCAAGATAGAAGCAACAAATATATATAACTTCCAAAGTTAAACTTTGATGGCCTCTGAAAAACTCTTTTTATTTCATTGTCTAAAAATTCCCCCCAAATATTTTTTTTGGTGAGTTAAGTTTCCTTGAAGTCTTTCACAGCCACGAAAATGTACTTATCTGAGTTCGTGAGATTGATTATGATTCACTTCTTTCTTAACTTCTTAAAATTCTAATCTCGTAAATATTGTTGCTTTCCGTTTGCCCGATGGAAGCCTTATTTGTTAAGTCATTTCGCATATTTATTTAGTTTTCGACTTTTTTTTTTTAAGTGGGATGTAGAATGCTTTCTTTTAATTTTTGAAAAGGAGAATTTTCCTGCCTGACTTCACGAAGTGTTTGATTATTTCAATAGATTACAAAAATAAAAAATAAACAAAGAAATAACATAAAACTACTGGAGAATAAAAAAATTAAAAAAATAAATAAAGCGGGCTATAAATAGCTCACGAAACAAATAATGTGAACATTATGGAAAATGTCATGCAGATATACACATATACCATAATAGCTATTTAGTTCTATAGGGAAATTATAGGGAAATTTCATAAAACAAGACTAAAAAAAAAAAAAAAAAAAAAAAAAAAAAAAAAAAAAAAAAAAGAGTTTAGACTTTAGTTTTTAATTTTGTTCCAATTTTTGAGGCAGAACATAACATTTATGGGTATTTCTTTTGTAAGGCCTTGATCCAGCTGGCCCGTATTTTAATGGAGTTGATCCTGCTGTGAGGCTAGACAAAGGAGATGCTGATTTTGTTGACGTCATTCACACAAACGCAGCCTGGACTCGCTTCACAGGTATAGTTATAAACTGACCATTCGAATTGCTTTCTATAAATCAGTAGAAATCTCAAGAAAATGGAATATTAAATTGGTCTTTAAGGATAGTTACAGAACGAATGAAAATAAATGGTTATTTTAACAACATACGCTCAGAGACATTAATCGAATTTCAGATTAATAAACTGCGTTTGAGATTTTAGAAATAGTTTAAAAAATGAGCTCATGACGTCATAAAAAGCTCTGAGTAAATAAATTTATCTAATAAATTAAAAAAAAAAATTCTTGATTACAGGTTAATTTTAGTTCACAGTCAGAAACAGATGCATATAAAAATTACCTGATGGGTTCTTTCTTAACAAGTAAATCCATGCAGAGGAACAATTTTTAGATACTAAAAATGCTTTTATAGATAGCGCGTGCAGATATTTACAATCATTTGTTTTGCGATGTATGGGGGAAATCTTATGGTAAAACATAAACGTTTTTGGCATCAAATTGACAAACATTTTTAATGTGCTTTTATATAAATAATAAACTTCTCAGATAATGATAAATCAAGAAAGAAATTAATTGAAGTAAAAAAAAAAAATTGTTGCCCTTTAAAATTACTAGACCATGAATGCGGTATGCAACAAACATCAAATTTCCATGATTGTATGCTGGGATTTGCAAATGATTAGCATGCTAGCGTATGTGCATAAAGCAGGTATGCATAACACAAGCACAAAGCAGGTATGTGTATCTACTAATTCAGAAATCAAACAACAAAAATCAGCGTTATATTTTCAAATTTTCACAAGACTTTCCATCAAATGAACATTTGCGTTCATTTGCAGGCTTTTGCAGGTGAGGATGGTGGTTCGGTAAAACCATCGAAATTAGTCCTGTGAAAGTTTGAAAATATAACGCTGATTTTTGTTGTTTGACTTCTGAATTAGTATTTGTTCGGCGTGTTACTCTGTCTTAATTATGTGTATCTACATTGTGTATAAATAGAGAAATTACACAGCAAGTTTCCCATTTGGAGATCGCAACTGAACGTTGGTGCGTTGCATAAAGGTCGTGTTAGGCCTCGTGTAAGAAAGAAAAACTCATGCTAGCAACTGTCGAAATTCGACCGCGGCAGGACTGGGACTATCAGGACTGCGGTTTGTCGGTACACTACTCTGTTGTTGATGTTTGTCGGAACTCCATGACTATCAGGCGAATATGAAATCGATGCGCTCTGGAGGGTAATGCTGAACATCATGAAGAATCTCAGCATACCCACACTATTAAAACCCGAGATGACAGGCATACTGTCCTTTGGCCTTGCGGTATCGTATATTCCGTCATGCATTCCCTCATGTATTCTTGGCGTTTGCTAGATGACATATTTGCTGGATGACATTTTCTTCTTCTTTCTGCACGTACAGTGCGACGACGTGTGCAGCACGAAATGGAATGTCAAGCAACCATTGTTGTGACTTCTCTTGACGCTGCAATAGAGACAGATGCACTTGACGAACAACTAGAAGACTGGACACACGAGTGGCACCACGTCATCTTTTCAGACGAATCCCTGTTCTGCTTTCAGCATCATGAAGGATGTATTCGTGTGTCGAGGTACCGAGGAGAACGAACGTTGCATTAATCGTCCCCATAAAGGCCTAGCACTTGGCGTGCTGGCTACCACTGGTAGACAGCAGCCTTGGTGGTAAGGGGTACTACTGGGCGTACAATCCGGTTACCTCTTGTTCGTAAATGGTAATATGGACAGCCGCCTTTACATTTCTGACGTGTGACTGTGGCCTCTCTTCAAAGTCTGCGTCAACAAGATAATGTATAATCTCTTTTTCATGTATTTCATTAAGATAATGCATGATTGGATATTGCCCATGCCGTCCTAATTTTCTGGATGCAAAGGGTGGATTTTATGGATACAAATACACGTTTTCCAGATTTCTCACTCATTCAAAACATCTGGTCATCGGTTACCGAGAGATTTACCAATCTAAAGTAACAAAGGTAAAAGTAGTAACAATCACTTTTCAGGCACTGTGATTGAGTTCAAGCAGCTTGGAATAAAGCTCCCGTATTTATATTCAATTCCGCTTGATGCTTAGACAGTTACAGCCGTTGTTGCTGCCAAAGGTAGCAGCTTGATGTATTAAATTCTAAACGCTGTCAACGCTATGTCCTCAAAAACATTTACAAACGTAATCATGTCTTCTTCTCGTTATACTGCATACATATAATAAATAAGATAGCATTGTTTGCTTTCCTTCCTGTTGTAGTTATTTTAATGGCCAGCAATGTAAAATGATTATAAAATTTATTACCTGAATTGTTTCATTAATTTCAAAGCAATGCTTAAATTTAAGCAAATTAGAAATTATTGTAGTTATTATTCATAATTTATTGGTAAGTTCATGAAAATATCTTATGTTTTCATAAAATGATTGATTAAATGATCATGAATTCGAGTAATTCGAAGACAAATGAACGAGCTTGAGAACAGAATAAATGGCTTATAACTATTGGAAGATTATAATTATATTGCAAATATATATAAAAGATATAATAAGAAGCCGGAAGTCTAAGGTTATCAAATCAAAATTGCATTATTATGCAAACATGTGTGATGCTATTATGTGATGCTTTGAAATTTTTTGAGGTTACTGGTAGCTGTAGAAACATCGCAGCAAAAAATAATTGAATAATTAAATACTAATAAGCAAAACCATTATTCGTTTCTCCGCAGTCCATTTGCAGATGATGCCTTCCAACTCAGGAAATAATATTTTGGGCAATATTTATTTCCTAAAACCGTGGATCCACTTATTCCGTGGGACCTCAGAGATTGCATTCTGATGTTGAGTAAAAAGCTCTGTCTTTTGTGCATTTGTACGGTTTGGGGATCAAAATGTTATTTTCTTTAAATACATTAATAATTCGAGTGTTAAATGAAGATTTATTGGACAACAAAAGCTAAAAATGATAGATTCTACAAACGCTAGCAAGCCGTAAGATTCAGAATACATCTCTTTATTTCACACGAATGCTTTAACTATGTCCATTAGAATACACGGTTACAAGATATATATCATTACGCCGATTCTAATTATTGCGTCCATTCATTATGGAATGGGAATTTGTGTTGTGTTTATTCTCCTATTGATCATTCAGCAAGTAACTGAGGCGTCTACTTCGCTAATTGATATAACTGGGGCTTATTTATGGGGTAGGTCTTATATTACGAGCATCCTGAAAAAACATTGTTGTATTTTCCGATTAGACCTAATTTTTGAGAAATAACATCAGTTCTTTTTCAAATATAAATTTCTGTTAACTTTATTTTCTTCTGAAAATTCTTTCCTTGGAGTTTAAAACCCTCTGAGCGGCCGGGGTTTTCGCTAAGAAAGCACAAATTTCCTAAAACTACTATAAAAACAAATTATTATTATTTTTATTTTAATGTAAAATCTCTCCTGGTATTTCATATCTGGATTTGTTTTCTTTTGATATATTGGCTTAATTTGTTTGACATATTTCAATATGCACTTGTATATACGTTCTTACAGATATCACAAAAATATTCTAGGCCGTATGTGTACGACCTTGCCGCTTAGAGGGTTAATATTATTCGTTGTGAAATAAGGCCTTCTTTTTTAGTATTTTTAAAACTTGATATATATTTTTCACAGTACTTCAATGTAAGAGATGATTTTTCTTAATTGACTAGTCCTTTTTATAATCTCATTTTCAACTTGCTATAGCTTCTACTTTCGATTTAGTTTGTAAAATTTCTATTATTTTCCATTAGAAAGTTATTAATAATTTCATCCTATAACGTTTCCTTTCCAGAAATGTAAATGAGTTAGCGAATATTTAAACTAAGGTTTTTGGATTAAAAGACAGAGCGTGTTTCTACCTGTCGAGTACACGTTACTTTAGTTCTGCCATCTCTGTCCAGTTTGTAATTATTCGGCTTTGCATTATTGGATGCCAACATTTAAACTGATATGCCGGTTAGAGTTTCTGAGACAGCTTAGATTTTAATTTACCTATGTAGTCTTTGACTATCTTCAAACGATTATCTAAAATAATCTTCCAAACGATATTTTTTCGGAAACTTCAATTTAATTTACAGGGTTTTGATGACCTTTCTAAAAAATCTTGCATTTTATACCTATCGTGTCCCTTCTACAATATAATTTTTATGTTTCAATGATGGAAACTTCCGTTTCTAATATCTCAACTATTTTACTTGTTCATATAGCATTTCTCAAGCTGAAATTTAAACGAATTGAATGTAATGTTACACTATCAGATCAATTGGAAAACAAAACTAATGTTATGAGTAATCTGTTGCTAAGGTGATTAGAGGAAATTATTAACCTATGTTCAGAAGCAGATATTTCCTTTATTGATATTTTGTTTCAGTAGACTGCAAAGCTCAAAATAAATTGCATAAAAGTCTTTTAGGATTACATAACTTTAATTATATGCATTAAAAGTAAAAAAAAATATTTTAGCTAATAATATTAATGGTTATATGTAAATGAATATAAAAATTCGTTGAGCACTTATATAAAATTTGTATTGGAAAATTATCGAATTCAAAGAAAGGCAGAAATACTAACACTATAGAAATGGCATACATAAAGAGTGATTGCAATCAATTCATTAAATTTTCCTTTGATATTCTCGATATGAAATCGAACAGTTTTGTAGCCTGAGCATAATAAAGGGAGGGAGCAGATCCATAACTCCGCCCTAGCTGGCAGAAAATGTTTAGTTTTCCACCAAAATATGTATATTAAAAATATTATACATATAAATTATGATAAACCTTAATTCAAACTTTCGGAATATCAAAAATTAAAGCTGAATTTCATCAATTATTCAACAAAAATGGGATATATAGAACTGTATATATTTTTTGAGCTCATCCTACGTATATTTCATTTTTTACTTCCTTGTATAAAGCAAAAGAAGTATTGCAATTGCGAAAAATTCCGGGTATCATATTTCAACGAATATATCCATTTTGACCACTATAGAATGCAATTTAAATAAAGTACTCTTTTTCCCCAAACGAATTATAAAACTAATTTAAAAATGGATCCAGAAGGACATTTTCGTGTACATATGTATTCATGCATCTCATAGCCTCATAACGTTGAAATTTTGCGTATAGGACTGCTATAATATGTAGTTGTCCACTTCTCTTTGTGGTTTCAATTGGCCACACCAAAGGTACATAAATATATATACCCGCCCTGTTACTCGGCTCAGTGAGCTCATTTTTTTATTTTTATATGTTGGTAAATTGTGCCTTTTTTGCTTTAAAAATGAATTGAATTATGTTGTTCTTATCTTCCGGTTAAGGTTTTTATGCTTTTAGTTAATATGCATGTGATAATTTTAGAATTATCAACAAATTAAAAGTTGCTTAAGTGCGGCTAAGCCTAATTTTTCTCTCCATAGCTGCCATATTTGTTTACTTTTACTTAGCAGAAACTTTTAGTTTTATGTCCCGAAAAATCTGCCTTTTTGTCTGCTGGCCGAATTGCTTGTTTTAGCGCAGAAACAAGCGCACTTTAAATTTAATTCTAAAAATTGCTTTTTAATTGTATTTGGTGTTTTATGTTTTTTTATATTTTTCAAGTTTCAATGAAGATATTTTGAGTTTTTATGTGTTTTTGCCTTACCGCGAAGTGAGAACTGAATTAATTGAATGAGAAATATACCTGTAATAAAATTCGAGGAATAAGTATTTCGTATTAGCAGCAAATATTGTCGCCAGTCTGTCTTGGACTAAGGAGAATGTTTACGAGTAGTGCATGCGCATTTAGGTAAGCGGTGCTGAATCGTCCGTCTGTTTCTTTTTTATCTGTTTCATTTCTTTTATACATCATTTTAGATTTATCATAGTATTTGCATAGAACATGTGGCAACGATTTGATAATTCTTCAGATGATATAATTTTTGTGCATTCTGAGTTCTAAAATGAATGAGATATAACGGTCTTAAGTGAACGTAGAGTCAGAGTGTCGCTATGGTAAATAAATGTAGTGAATTTTATAGAGTGCAATTAGTCTATTGTGGTTTATGCGCTACCGAAAAAATATATTTAATTCAATTCAATAAGTTTAAATTAAATGCAGGAAAAATGCATATAATTTAATATTTCGCGCAAGGAAGTAATGTGGTGTACACATCAGATTTTTTTTATTGCTAATTTTGATTTCTTTGGTATTTATTTAACTTCATAAAAATGTAGTATATTTTGTATGGAAATAGATTTCTACGTCAACAAATAAAAAGTTATAAACGTCAGAGTTATATAAAATAAAAAAGTCATGGAGATATATAAAATTATCTAATTTAAGTAATTAAACAAATGTTAGTGTTATATAAAAATAATATTCTGATATAAATTGTGTTATATAACAGCAATTTCTATAGATAGAGTAATTATATGATGTTTTCCAACTCGGGAAATAATGTTTTCGAAAATATTTATTTCCTAAGACCGTGGATCCACTTACAAAATCTCAGTGGAGCTCAGCAATTACATTGTGATATTGAGTAAAAAGCTCTATCTTTTTTGCATTTATACTGTTTGTTTGGGGATCAAAATGTTATTTCCTTTAAATATATTAATAATTGAAGTATTAAATGAGTGTTCTATAGAGTAATTAAATGTGCTATAAAATACTTTAAATATCTTCTGTAGGTTTTGGGCTTGAAGAACCCATAGGAGACGTGGATTTCTATCCAAATGGTGGAGAAGATCAAACCGGTTGTAGTAAAGCATTTGAAGCGTCAGCTGGAATTGTGGGCGAAGTTTTAAGCTACTTCAATATCTATAGCTTAATATATAAATACGTTCAGAGAGGATCTTTGGATCCAAATGGTAAAATTATGTAAATTTTGAATATTATATATTATATTTTGATAGTTTTAAATATATACTGTGTAGTATGTTTAAAATAATTTTGTGATTAAGTACACTGCGAAAAAAAGTGTGGGGGGGTACAGTTCTATATCTCCCGTTCTAATGGGCCGATTGACGAAATTCAACTTGTGTTTTTCATGTCTCGAAAGCGCGACTTAGGATATGTATTAGATTTATACATAGCATTGTTCTAATGTAGGTATTTTGACACAAAATCCGACTTTTTCTGAAATGACATGGCATTTTTTTCCATATTTCGACTCTACGACTTAAATTATGCCAAACTGCCAAAATTTGTAAAAATCGCACAAGTAGTTTTTAAAAAATTAGCTCTCAAAATTTTAGCTCTTCAATGTTAATTGAATATGGTATATATTTATTAGTCTCTCTCCTTTTTTTATTAAATTTATTTGATTCTTCCTTTTACATTTAGAAGTTTAGGTTCATTCCAAATAAAATTAGCCCATTTTTTATGATTTATTTTTTAAATGTTTATAAATTTTTAGAAAAAAAAAATTGAATTATAACGTATAAAATTTTACCATCGCCTTAAAGTAGGTGTATTTCTAAGCATACCTGCAAAAAATTATTTTTTATTCAAAATTTCCGAAGATATATTTATATATTAGTGCGTTTTGAAATTTGGCATATTTGTTGAAAGCTATAATAACATCAAATGTGGTTTGGGCACATTGTTAAAATTATTTAAAAGTAGGAAAGATGTGACTTTGTTTCCGCACATGCACAATGTGAAATGGTAGGAACGATGTGACTTCCCACCTCCTCCTGTACAATAGGAGGAAAAGGAAAATAGGTTGCCGTATATTAAGAAGTTCGCCAAGTAAATTATTCGTGGCGCAAACCGTAAAAAATGCGCCAAGATAGATAAATTTTTGAATTTCTCCGTAAATTGTGCACCAAGTTTTACAAAATTTAATATTCAGACAAAATTTGAGTCGTAGAATCGAAGTATGGAAAAAAATGTAGGCTATTTCGGAAAAGTCCGAATTTTGTGTCAAAGTACCTATGTTAGAAGGTACTATATATAAATCTAATATATCCTAAATTGTGCTTTCGAGATATGAAAAACGCAATTTGAATTTCGTCAATCAGCCCAGTAGAACGGGAGATATAGAACTGTCCTTTTTTTTTCGCAGTGTACACTCCCAAAAAGTGCTTTTGTGTATTTGCTGAAGTATTGGCAAAATCATTGAGTTTGAAGTGTTAAAACCTGAACAAACTGTGAATGTGGATCTTTACCTGAACAATTAGATCAAGTAAATCAGACTTTAACTGAAAAGCGTCCAGCGATTGTTAACAGAAAAAGCATTATTCTGCAACACTGCTCAAGTTGAATCCTGAAAAGAATTAATGAACTGGGATGGGAGGTACTGCCTCACCCACCATACTCGTCCGACATTGTACACTTTCTGTATGACAAAAAAACTAAAACTGATATTCAAAATGCCACCTCTAGATATTTTGCTCAAAAACAATTAATTTTTATCAATCCAGCATTTGAAAGTTGCGCATTAGTTTGCTAATAACGAGGGTGATTAAATCGATAATAACGAGGGTGATTAAATATTATCTTACTGTAATTTACGTGAAAATGAAAGTTCTTAACCCTTTGCGGCACGGTGTACCCGGTCTGGACACACCTAAAAATTACCCTCTGTACCCACAGAAAAATTAACGAAAAGGTTAGTATAGTTAGTATAGGTTAGTATAGGTTACTCCGAACGTTTCTTTATTTATACTAAGCGGCAGCGCAACACAGAACTGTCAATAGAGTTTAGCCATGTTTAGTTTTCAAAGACCCACATTTTTCAAAGAAATCTTCCGGATTATTTTATATAAAAAAAAAAATTGTTTGAAAAGAAATTTGCATGTAATTTTCTTGGCTATATACTAATCTCCTTATTCTATATTAGTTTTAAATTTTTATCTTGAAATCTTGCCTAAAATTGAACAACGAACATCACGTGTGTCCAGAGTGGGGTTACTGAGACACTAGACCAACAACTGTACTTTTATTTCACTGCTGCTCTCCGGTGATTCCGTTTGGAAATGTTAAATAAAAGCTTTTTATTAATAAAAGAAAAAAAAAACTTAAAGCATTTTTTTATTACGAATACAAATTATTTGAATTTTTGCAATTCTTTGATTTTTATTCTTCCTTTTTATTTTTTTATTTCTTCGTTTTTTTAATTCGTTGATTAAGTTAAGTAAACTGAAGAGGTATAAGGTAATTGTTAACTTAAATTAAGTAAACTGGATAAGGTAATTGTTACAAGTATTTTGATCTTAAAAATCCGAAAAATCCGTCAAAGGACGTTACTTCAAGATGTTCATGACTCTTTGGGGTGCTGAAATTTTCGTACAATGATTATATTTTGTATATTAAACTAATTTATACAAATTAATATATTACTAATATTAAATCAGTTTTTCAGCAAGCTAAAGTTAAGAAATCAATATATTTTCTGAAGTCACAAGGATATGCACACTTCTTATTTTTAATTGGCGCTTTTTTTTTCTTTTTCAACCTGCTTTCTTCCTTAGGCACTACACGGAAAAAGAGAGAAGCCCTGTGGAAGTCTTTTTAAGGGAAACTGGCTCGTATTCATGTTACATATGAGAAAACCACGAAAACGACCATGCAGTCAGGCCGTTCGCCGGGACTCGAATCACAGACCGAACCACCAGTTTTCAGCAGCTTTTGAATTTCGGTTGCTCGTGGGTCTTAACTGGTGTTTGTGAAAGAAATATGCAAATTTCGGAAACTCTCTCAGTATCATGAAAAGACGAGAGAGAAAAGTACCATCTTTTAATGAACACCAATCAATTAAAATTTGTTGCGCATATGATGTTGTAACGCATAAATGAAGAAACATTTAAAATTAAAAATTAAAAAATAGTTATGATATTAAAATATTCTTAATTTTTTCTCATGCTTAAAAAAATTAAAATAGGTGCAATATTTCTTTCCACTTTGAATTGGGGAATTTATCACAAAAACTAAAACACATGATCACTTTGATACTTTGGCCCACCAGTGGCCGAGCGGTAAAGTCCTTGAATACTGGCAGTTCGGCTCGAGTTTCGAATATTGCCAAGGAGCTGGCTGCATGGGCATTTTCTTGGTTTTCCCCATGTGTAACGTGTTAATACGAACCAGTTTCCCTTGAAAAGTCCGGCTTACCAGTGGCCGAGCGGTAAAATCGCTGAACACTGGTAGTTCGGGTCCGAGGTTCGAATCCCGCGAACGGGCTGGCTGCATGGGCGGTTTCGTGGTTTTCCCCATGTGTAACGTGTATACGAGCCAGTTTCCCTTAGAAAGTCCTGCACGAAGGCATCCCTCCCCTTAGGCAAATAGCCCTAGTGTGCTTTGCCGTATTCACGATATATATATACACCCTTGAAAAGTCCTCCACGAAGGCCTTTCTCCTTCCGTGTAGTGGTTTAGGGCGGAACATGTAAATAATAATAATTTTGATACATTGCGATAATTCTAGTGACATTTTGCTTTGCACCCAATGGAGAACTAAATGAGAGTTAAAATTCTAAAGTGCTAATTATTTAATTACAATAAAAATGTCTTCATGCGTTCTGCATATAATATTGTCTATTATGCTAGGATAAGTAACTTTATATTATGACATAAAGGTAAATAAAAACACAGCTAATATTTTTTCAAAAAATTAATAAAGATATTTTATTCTATGAAACAACATCAAAAATGTTTATTAAAATATTTTAAATATGATAGCAAATATCTAGGTAATCAAATTTGACTAAGATTTTTTAAAAATATTTCAAGAGCAGAAACTTTTAGAATCTGATTTTCTTCAATAATAAAGCGACAGCATATCGTATTGGAAGCATAATCGCAAACCTATATCCTAATCGAAATTCTTGTTTTACATCTGAAGCTAAAATACAGTCAGATTTAAGTATAAGAGGAAGAAGTTCAATTAATTAGTTTGGCGTAATTCAGTTAATTCGGTAATTAGTTTGGCGAAATACAATAAATATTCACATCATTAAATGGAATCACAATTGTATGTGATACCATCAACATTCAATCATAAATCACTTTTCATCACAAACATACTCAATTGCCTGTATAGTTCACAAATCATTGCTTATTTGTGTATTTGTATTTTAGCATGTAAAATTTAAATTTAGTGCAGTATTCTTTCTCATTATATTATTACAGTGGACGAGCATGTAGACGCTTTAGCCTGCAGCCACGATCGAGCTCATCAGTACTTCCTTGCCAGCATAGACACTGACTGTAAATTCCTGTCTCTGGAATGCTACAGCTGGGAAGCCTACGAAGAGGATAAATGCGGCTCATGTGAGACCCAGAAATGCGTTAGAATGGGCTATTATGCTGCCAAAGATCTACTACTAATGTCGAAGAATGAAGCATCCAGAAAATTCTATCTCAAAACTAAAGATAAACCACCATACTGTTTGGAAAAAAGTGAAATAATTTCTGATAACAAATAATTATTTACAGAAATAATTGTTAAGTTGCTTAAATTCAAATAAATTAATATTCGCACCATACTCAGTCATTTCTGTGACGAAATTTAGAGTATTTGCATCTGTCATTAATATAAAAGAACATATCAGACTGATCAGCAAAAGAAACGACAAGCTATATTTAGATACTGCATTTGGAATGAACAACACATCACCTCTACAAAGGTTTTGAACACGAATTCATAAAACATAAAGATCTGAAGGAAATAATTTATCATTGTTTAGTCGCATTATATCATCGTTCAGTGATCCTTCACGAAGGCTTCCCTTCGCTTAGGCATATAAATCCTTATAAGATTTGTCATAGCCTAAATAATCTAATTCATACTATTATTCTACAAGTAAAATATGTAGAGTAGGTTGGTTGGGTTCCTTAATAGATTATTCACTATAATGATGCATAGTTGAAAATCATAAGCAAAGATTATAATTCAATAAAATTCGGCAACATCAGTAACTCGGGGGTTATTTTTAATGCACAGGATTGATATTTGAATATAAATTATAATGGTTTAACAACTATTTAATAACTTCGGGTTGAGGATTTGCATGAAAAATAATTCATCATTGATTTGCAGGCCCACCAGCGGCCGAGCGGTAACGTCGCTGAACACTGGTAGTTCGGTCCGAAGTTCGAATACCGCGAACGGGGGATGGCTGCATGGGTGTTTTCGTGGTTTTCTTTCATGTGTAACGTGCATACGAGCCAGTTTGCCTTAAAACGTCCTCCGCGGAGGCATTCCTCCCTTAAGTCAGATAGCCCTCGAGTGCTTTGCCGTAAATCTAATAAACCAAAACACCATTGATTGGCACTATTAAATTAACAGTAGTAATTTATAAAATTTTGATTGACTTTTAGAAGATATTTCGCCACAGTCATATAAAAATTTTAATAACATTTATTCTTTTTTCAGATGAAGCAATTTGAGATTAAATTTTAGAAGTAACAAATCTATTATATATATATATATATATAATATATCAAGCAGGTAGTAATTACAATTTTGAAAAACTAATTTTGGTCTAGAAAACATCTTGCGCAATATGCTGCAAAATAAGTAAAATATAAAAAAAATATAGTAAGCTCGCATAAAAGTTACCAAGAGCTGTTGCTCCAAAAAGTTGAACACGTTTTAAAAAAAAAATTAATACATATGAAAATCAAACCATTAAACATGTAAAACATTAAAAAAACAGAATCAGATAAAAAGGTAAGCGGAATACTTTACACAATAATAAACGACTGGAGGATCTAATTCAAAAATTGCAAAATCACTTTATCATCACGAAGATTGACAAAGCAAGCAACATTTTAGTATTATTTGACAAAATTCTACTACAATCTTCTGCATAAGAGTTAAATAAACCTGCACTTACCAAAAAATCACTACCAGTGCTCAGTTCTTCTCAATAAATTAAAGCACTCCATAAAAGACTAAAATACAGCCCGAAATATAACAACAGGTTTGCCAGTCTCTATGCCTTACCTAAATTTCTATGCCTTACCTAAATTAAGTCTCCATTAAAATTCAGGTTCATAGCGAATAATACCAAAAGTTATCTAAAGAATAGATTATCTCTTTGCACAAAAACTTCGTATGGTACGTGACTGAGCACTGGTAGTGATTTTAATCTGAGCAAATCTGAGCACTGGTAGTGATTTTAATCAATAACTATGATTTTGAGGGTTTGCATTGCAACCGGATGATCTCTAGTAACGAACTAGTTCTTAAAACTATGAATTCACTTAAAATAGACCATATCCAATGCTACGACTTTGAAAACCTCTATACATCTCTACCGCTCGAAGAAATTTTTACAAGTTTACTGCTCTTCCCGATTTATTTCCGCAAATTCTACCATTCTCAGCAACGAAAAATGGCAACTATTCCTACCAGCGTGCTCTTCAATAATTTTATTCAATTTGACATAACATCTATAAACAAGTACAGGTATCAATATGGGCGGTAATTTTTTCAAACTCTGTCTGTGAATTATTCCTGTTTACTAAAATTGACCTATGTCGTTCACTCAGTACGGAAGAACGTCTCTTTTACCAACATCTATAGATTATTGATGATGTCATGCATTTAATAACTACAACAAATAAAAATAGCTAATATCTACCCTGCATGCTTAAAACTAAATAAAACAATACAGAACAGCATAATGTGTCTACCTTGATTTACATATTATAGATTACAATTTTATTAAAGTTTACGACAAAAGAAAGAATTTAATTTTCCACACTTAAATTAACTAACTGGAATTCAATATTCCAAAGAGTTATACTCAACACAATTTTCACAGTACTTAAATAAAAAAATATGCAATACTGCGAAACACTTACAAGAAGAATACTATACTTCGTAACTATTTTAAAAGTACTAATTTCCTCATAAAATAATTAAAAATACCCTTACAAAGCGGCATTGCTTACCTATTTTTAGATTTTTGAATTAGATAATGATATTTTAACCTAAAGCCACGACGGTTTAAGGGTATGACTAATTCAGAGAATCTATTGTAAATGTAAGATAATTCTTGTTTTTTCATTCTCTTTCCTCCAAATTTTGGCACTTTAATTTTAAATACTATTGTGTACATAGTTTTAAATTTCTATAATGGCCATTTTACTACTTTTATAACAAATCGGCCTTTTCGTTTTTCAAAGTAGCTTGATCGCCCGCTAGCTTGAAGAATTACGAATTTTTAACAAATGACTGTTTTTCCTTTTACTCTTGCTTTAATGGCCAAGTTTTGTATTTTAGCTGAATTAGCCATTTTCACTTCGAGAAAAAATTTTTTTCCATCCAACTACATGCAGACGCCATTTTTGAGATTTTTCACGTTTCCGAGGGTTTCCGGCGCCCTCGATAATAGGAGCGGTTGCAGATAACGAAAATCTCTTCGATTGCTAATGCCACAGAACTTCGCTCCCCCCTACATACTCATTCGGATGAATACACAGAAGGAATGCAACCACTTTTCAACTAGTTTTAAGAGGGATAGCTTTGCATCGCCACAGGTTTTTTGTTTCTTTTGTTACACTTTTTCTTGGTCTAGCAAGACCCACTCAGTTTGTATCATTTATTTCTTTTCTTTATTTATTTTAATTACAGTTTTTCATTACAGATTTCTAAAATATAAAAATTATATTGTTAATCTTTAAGCTTGCAGGCCAGCCCGTGTTTTTGTATATTTAGGACTAATAGCTGACGCTATTTATTTTCGTTATTATTTTGATTTATTTTTGATTTAATTTTTGATTTTAGTCTAGATTTAAGATGTATAGGTATTGTTTAACATATTTTACACCTTAATGTGTCATTCTGTGCGGACGCGTCGGGAAATTGGAACAGAGAATTGATGCTATTAAAATTTCCAAGACAACTTTGTCTAATTTAAAAAAATTTTGTAGCGAAAAGTTTCAATTGTCTGTTTTCGGCGAAACGCGTAATGGGGTTAGCTTGATTCGACGTTCAAATAAATGAAATTTCCCTTGAAAAGCCAGTTTGGAGTCGAGTTGGGCTAATTTACCATTTTCCGCTTACCTTTTTATCTGATTCTGTTTTTTTTTAATGTTTTACATGTTTAATGGTTTGATTTTCATATGTATTAATTTTTTTAAAACGTGTTGAACTTTTTGGAGCAACAGCTCTTGGTAACTTTTATGCGAGCTTACTACATTTATATATATATACATATATATAAGGGGGCTGTAAATTAAATAGTGGCAACTTAACCTTGAAACTCGCAGAAAGGCGGGCATGCACAAATAGGATATGAGAGCGGTAAGGTGGCGCTGTTGTCGATGTGTAGAGTGCAAAAAACAGTCAATCTGCTTAGAAAGGTAGTTGTGTGGCGTTAAAGTGAGGGTTTCGTTTCTATCTCCCTAAAGCATGTTTTCAAAAGGTGATCATCAGCGATCGTGGCTTAAAATCGAGATTGGCCGTGGCAAAAGTGCAACAGAATGCTATAGAGGATTAGTGGAAACCTGTGGCACAAATGCCTTACACCATACCGTATAGGACAGTAGCACGATGGGTTCAAGCATTTCGTTCGGGTCGGAATGAGACTGCGGATTTGCAACGCACAGGTCGGCCCTTCATTCCTCAAGAGCAGATTGACATCCTGAGCGGTATCCTTACCATAGACCGCCGATGGACTGTCCGAAGAATTATCCTTAGAGGTTGGTCTGAGTCATCAAACGGTGTGGCGCATAATGAAGAAATCTCTCAACATGAGGAAAATTGCTTCCCGCTCGGATTCCACATCGACTAACCGAAGTACAGAAATGGCACCGGTATGCACTGGCTGCACCCACATGGAGAGATACGGTTAATGAAGGAGACGCATTTCTGCAGCGTATTGTCGCCATTGATGAGACATGGGCACGAGCCTATGAGCCTGAATTAAAGCATCAATCAAATGAATGGCGTCACCAAGGTTCGCCACGTCCACAGAAATTTCGACAAGTACCCAGTCGGGTGAAGGTTATGCTGATTATGGCATACGACTGGGAAGGTGTGATTCTTACACATGCTGTATCTGAAGGACAAACTGTCAACGCAGATTACTATTTTTGATTTCTACAGCACCATCTGCGTCCAGCCTATGAGCCGCAAACGTCCACTTTTATTGCACAACAATTTCCCTATAGTATTGCATGACAACGCTCATTGCCATGTCGCAAACAATATCACTCTCCTTTTGCGACGGTGGCAGTGGGAAATCCTGGAACACTCTCCCTACTCACCCGACATGAGTCCTTGTGACCTCCTGTTGTTTCTGTTTCCGAAGTTGAAGGAACCCCTCCGAGGTCACCGATTTCATGACGTTTCATCTGTACTCCACGCTGTAGGGCGCTCGGTCGCTCACATCAACAATCAACACCTTGCCACTGGTCTACAACGGCTTCCCGACATTTGGCAAAAGGTTATTAGATTTGCTGGTGATTACATAGAAGGAATGTAATGCAATTGTACTTGTAAGTTCAATAAAAATTGATTTATACCTATGTT